GACTTGCGTATGTTCAGTTATATATGGAGTTCCAACAACAGAACAGCCTTGTCAATACTTGAGTATCTAAACTTCAATAAGGAGTTCCCACAACGGAATAGTCTAGGCAAGACTTGCGTATGTTCAGTTATATATGGAGTTCCAACAACAGAACAGCCTTGTCAATACTTGAGTATCTAAACTTCAATAAGGAGTTCCCACAACGGAATAGTCTGGATAAGACGTTCATCGGGGAATGCGCTAGCACTCTCTATGTAAGGATGGCAAAAGTCATCTGTATTTTCTTCTCTACAGGTATTCAGGAGCTAGATATGAAGAGCTACATGGCATAGCCGCTCTATTTTCGATGTATGTGCCGGTTTTTAGCTATCCAAAGTCAAAAACAGGCGAATAACCAAAAACCGAGATTTCTTTTTTCTTTCATCATCATCTTTTTTCAACAGGTCTAGCGCCTACCTAGTTCTAGAAATAACTATAATTTTTATCATCTTTTGATAGAGCAAAATAGTCTTCACGATCTTTGACTACCTATTTTATTAGTACTCTAGGCAAGATGTATAAAGCTTTAAAATATACTCTGTAAACTAGTAACCCACGTACGCTATCTTATAAAAAAGTAAACAAACAAGTACAAGGGAAAAAATTATCGCTAAGTAAAAAAGTTACTTAGGGCTCGCTACTGAACTTGAAAAAATGAACCAAACAAGATAGGGATGGAAGTGGACGTGTCACTTGATCAGCTAATGATCACATAGCAAACTAAGCTGTCTTGACTTTAAATAAAGAATAAAATCTCTGCATTATTGGCTTCCACACTTTGTCTATCGAAAGCTTTGTGTTTGGATAGAACCTCAACTTTCATTATTATACCTTTCCTTTAACTTTAGAAGGAGCAAAGTGATGTGGAACATTTTCTTTCTGCAGTAGTCAGTAAATATACGATCTAAAAAAGCACAGACTTATCAGCAGCCACTGTACTTTTTAAATACAACAAAACTTTTGTTAATGTTTACAGCGTGTAGTTTCCGATACAAATATTCATCATCAAAGTCAGCAAGAGCCTGATCCGCTACCTTCTCAATATCATAAACGATGCGTAACGGTACAATGGTTTTTTCTGGTTTGAATTTTCCCATGCCAATACCAGGTGTAAGTCTTAGTCCTTGAAATAAATAAACTTTACGTTGCGACTACGATAGAAAAACAAACTTTAGCTGAACATTTTAGAATATAAATATTTTTAGAAGCTGCTCTGATCAATAATAAAACTGTAACAAAAATGTACTGTCTCTATATACTAGCGTCTGTGCAAAAGGGATCGATTTTTGGAAGCAAGGTTATCAAAGATTAAGCAAATAGTCAAATAACATAAAATATGTTGCAAACAGGAGTATTTGATAAAACAGTATTTCCTCCATTAAATAACGTGACTAATCTTCTTATAGTTTAGTTCGAACTCACTATAAAAATTTATGAAATAACAATTATCGCTGGTTGAAAATATGTATGTCCAGCTAAAATATCAGTTATTATCTTATGTCACAATTGACATATATCTATTTAATCAAATTTTTAACATTTAGATATGTTTTTAAATAGAACTATAATTAAATATCGATAATTGAAGAGCGCCATGCTGTAACGATGAACTTGACGATTACCTCGTTCATCCATAGTTGTTTAATACTTAACTTTATGCTGCCAATTTTAATGTTACTATACAATGTAGGTTCACCACTCTATTTTACAAATTTCTGATGAAATACAATGCTATATAACGATAAAAGTGCACAATTTAAAATAGAAACTGACATATATAACAGAGAAAGAATAATTATGTACAAAGAAATTTGACTTTTTAATAATACTAATTATACGAGCTTCATTAATTTCTAAACTAGTGTTGCTATAATATTGTCTATGAAATTTTTCTGATCTGCTGTCGCTATATAACTGTCAGAGATTTCATTGTTTTATTTGATCTGCTGTCACTATATAAATGTCCGAGATTTCATTGTTTTATCTGATCTACTGTCACTATATAAATATCCAAGATTCCATTGTTTTATCTGATCTACTGTCGCTATATAAATGTCCAAGATTTCATTGTTTTATCTGATCTACTGTCACTATATAAATGTTCGAGATTTCATTGTTTTATCTGATCTACTGTCACTATATAACTGTCCGAGATTTCATTGTTTTATCTGATCTCCTGTCGCTATATAACTGTCAGAGATTTCATTGTGTTTCCTGATCTACTGTCGCTATATAAATGTCCGAGATTTCATTGTTTTATCTGATCTACTGTCGCTATATAACTGTCCGAGATTTCATTGTTTTATCTGATCTACTGTCGCTATATAACTGTCCGAGATTTCATTGTGTTTATCTGATCTACTGTCGCTATATAACTGTCCGAGATTTCATTGTATTTGCTGATCTACTGTCGCTATATAACTGTCCGAGATTTCATTGTGTTTGCTGATCTACTGTCGCTATATAATTTCATCATTTTTCTAATCTGGTTTGGTTATTTCAGAGCAAAGCCACATTGAGCTATCTGCTGTGTCCACTGCGAGGAATCGAACTCCGGGTTTTAGCGTAGCAAATCCGTATATTTTCCGCTGTTTCACCGGGGGACCATTTTTTTGGTTCCATACTGCTATATCATTGTCTTTGTTTTCGGATATTCACATAAAACTACTAAAAAGCTATCTATTCCAGCCGTCCCTAATTTTGAATTGAAAGACTAGAGGGTAGGCAGCTATTCAACAGTACCCACCGCCAATTCTTAGGCTACTCTTGTCTGACCGAATACTTGGGTTTGAGCGTCACAGTTGTAATTCAACTATGTCCCCAAAATGCAGAGCGCAATTTTAATTTCATTTGTTGTAACGAGACGCGAACGTTGGATCCAAAGATGTATAGTATGGGATGCTAACCAACGAAGCATTCTCGGCCCAAGTTATTATCCGAGAGTACAGTATTGCTATATAATTGTCTCAAATTTCACCGTTTTCTGTTCTAAGTATTGTTATTGTTATCTGAAATATAAACCCGTTTGTGAGCCAGTTTTGTTATCTGTTACCATAGCACTGCCTTCGGATTATTTATTTCTCATATAGTGTTTCTATGGTATTTTCTGAGATTTATCATCTTTTGGTCAACTTTACTTTGTCATTGTCTGATAAATTATCAGTTTCTTATCTGCTGTTGCTACAATCTTTCCTATGGTTAGTCTGAGCTAGTGTTACCATGTCATTATATAATAAATATTTTCCTTTGTTTTAGTGTTGCTGTCTGGATGTTAATGTTTTTTTATATAGTGTCATATGTAAGTTGTATGATGACAAAACCTTTTCGAAACGTTATATATTTCTTGTCGGATTTCGCGCAAAATTACTCGAAGAATATCTGAGCTAGTCAAACCCCAATTTAGAAGGGAAGGCAGATAGTTAACACCACCTTCCACCACTTCTTGGGCGACTCTTTACCAATGAAAAGTGAGATTGAACGTCACATTATAATGCCCTCACAGTTGAAAGGATGAGCATGTTCGGTGACGAGATTCGAACGTGCGACCTGCAAATTGCGAGTCAAGCTTTCTAACCACCAAGCCATGCATATTGGAATCTTATTTTTCTATGAATGACCGAACTGATGAAGACTGTATATATATATATATATTTGATGTTTTATCTTATTTGTATTTTATTTTATTAGACAATTCATGGCATAAAATAATAAACGAATAAACACAGCGCTCATTTCAGTAAATTAGAAATTAACAAATAATTTAAAATTATACATTACCGTACGCTATTAAAATGAATAGTACATTAACATCTTTTTAAAATTCTTTGATTATAATATTTCGAACTTATTTTAACTCACTTTAATCTTTACTTGCAGGTTATGGAAACATTGCCCCGAAGACTGACATCGGGAAAGTGGTAACAATCTTCTATGCTCTGTTTGGTATTCCTCTCATGCTTTTGTGTCTCACTAACATCGGTGATTTACTGGCTCGTTCGTTTAAATTTGGTTATTCTCGACTTTGCTGCGCTCTCTGTCGACAGAAGAGGTTATCACAAGATCAGGTTACGAAAAAAGGAGTTTCTATGAGCCAAGCGAAGCCAGTAGAAGATAAAACAGTCCAAAGAATGAAAGAAGAAAAGTGCCCTGTGTCCACCATTGACGTTGTTGTAGACGCCACTCGAGTGGCACTAGAACAAGATAATAATGAACCAGATGGTAGTCCAAAATACGAAGTCACCGAGGAAGACATGTTTCAAGATGACGCTCAAATGCGACATCAAACTATTTTAAGGCCAACACATTCGACCTCTTTAACTAACAAAGTAATCACAAGTGCCCAGGATCACCAATCACCTAATAATATAGTAACCAAGGAACAAGCTTTTCGGGACAACAAAAATATTGTAGAAGAACGTGTTCCCATCTATTTGGTGTTGCTTTTGGTCACAGGATACATCTGCGGTGGCGCCATCTTGTTCTCTCTGTGGGAAAATTGGAGCTTTTTGAATGGTGCCTACTTTTGTTTTATCACACTAAGCACCATTGGATTTGGAGACCTTGTGCCCGGCACCGATATCTTCGATACCCGAGAGCAAGCAAAGCTGATAATATGCTGTTTTTACTTAATCATCGGTCTTGCTATTATCGCTATGTCTTTCAATTTGGTACAAGAAGAAGCGGTTATTAAATGCAAGACTATTGCAAGGAACCTGGGGATTTTGTCTGCTGACAACGATAGTAACTAAAACTTGCAGCATTATCAATCTTGTATAAAATAACAATTATAAATAAAGTACCACAAGACTGATTTTAAAAATCATTGATTTATGTCGATTACAAAAATCATCTGGAGCTCGTAAATTCTATACTGAATAATCACTAAAACTGTCTGTTGAAACTAGTATTTATTAATAACCGCTTAGTATTGTTTCTTCTTGACTTAATATAAAATGGTTGATTGTATGTTAACTAAAAATTCCCTAAGATGTCACAAGATAAATTTAGTTAGTTTATTAAGTTAATGAGGGAATTAAATTAAAATATTTTGGTGGAACTGTGATCCGTACTTATACGTGATTTGTATCACAAATTTTAGGCCTACTGGTCTTAATATTGTAGTATTAAAGCCAATTGAATTGTTTCCAATAATTATTTAATATTGTAGCTGAAAACTTATAATACTTCTGGATACTGTCATTGTATTGTTGTAATACATCTTGATTGTTTGTTTGTTCGTTTTTTAATTTCACGCAAAGCTACTCGAGGGCTATCAGCAATAGCCTTCCCTATTTTTAAAGTTAACGCCACATTATAACGTCCTCATGGTTGAAAGGGTGAGCATGTTATGTGACAAGATTCGAACTAGCAACCCGTGCGAGTCGAGTTCTCTGACCACCAACCAGGCCATGCCAGTAAATTTTGATGTAACCACTGGTGAGTGTGTTTGTGTCCCAGCCGGCCTGATGAGCTCTCTATTGAGCGAAACGTATCGCCAGCTATGGAAATGATGGACAGTGTGGTTGGAATACTATTATACACTCACTCACCCACTCTTCTTTATCTTAAACAACCCTAGGGAACTGAATGAACAATATATGTGTGAAAAATTGAAACAGATCCAATACTAATGTCTTACGACAAGTATAATTATATCTTGATGTACTTTCAAACAGTAATTTACCATTTATGTTATAATCACAAATATTAAGTCTATCATTTTAATATTGTTGCAGTAAAAGAATCCGTGTTTCTTTCAAATGATGTTTTACTATTCATTATTTAAACGCCGAAAGCTGGTGAAGCATCAGAAATAATAAGCCTAAAATTTGTGATAAAATTCCAGCCCAACTGACGTGTTTTGGCATATACGATTGACCTACTGGATAGTGACTTTTGACAAATAAAATATAGATGAGAAATACTACTTCTACTCGCCTCTGTTTTTAAATCCGTAATGGGCAAATTAAGAGGAATGTGTAAAAAAGAAAAAAACATCCGCAGTTTAAGTGATTTTTATCACAAATGTTAAGCCTATTGGTTTCAAATGCTTAGCCAGCTTTCGGTGTTTAAACTGACCTTTTAAAGTATTATGCTGCGTATATATAAGTGGTAATAATAGAACCTTCTGTCTCTCATCTTCTGACCCATATGTCAAGTTCTGGTGTTGACGAAAGGTTTTGGGGCAGTCTTGAGGCAAACAAAATGTAAATCTGAAATGCTATTTTACGCGCCTGTTATTTTGAACCGTAACAATATTGTGCTTTTTATAGACGTATTACGATAGGTATCTTTAAATGTATTCCAAGAATTTTCGTAAAAAAAATGTATGGGCAGTGTCTATGGTTACGAGTTTTAAAAAACAAAACCTTTTAATTTGTTTATTACGAATTTCAGACTACAGTTATGTACAAAAAACATTCCATAAACACATTTTGACTCCTACAGTCCTACTTGTCACTGCTGGAACCCTTTCCAACTCATCAGTTGAGTTGAATCACGATAAGGGTTTGTCTGAAACTCTATTTATACAAGCAGTACATGAATTTTCAAGTAACAGCTTCAAGCCGAAAGCTGGCGAAGCACTTCAATTCAATTGGCCTAACATCCATAACAAAAATCAAATGAAACTGTAGGTTTTCTTTTTCACAATTCTCTTAAACTGCCCAATGGGGACTTCAAAACAAGGGTGTAAAATTTGGATTTCAGATAGAGCTTTTGTGTACTACTGCCCAGGAGGCCTTTTTTAAAACCGTTAAGTTTATGCTGGTCGGTGAACTGGAGTTTGTACGTTCTAGTACTCGATAAGCGTTATACAGAATGCAAATAGAAAACAGCAATAACAAATTGTTATATTATCTGATAATCTTGCTTGTTTGCTTTCTATTGTTGTAGCACTCTTAACAAATGAACCTAATTTTGTGCTACTGGAAATAAATATTTGTTTGTAATTCAGCCAAATTTATATTAATAGGTTCACAGTTAATATATCGAGTAAAATATTCATATATCAATTTTTTCTATCCGAGTGTGCTATCAGGTTCTCCGACCGATGAGTCTGGAAACTAAGTATATATGCGACTTTAATGTATATAAAAACACAAGAGGGAATTCTCAATAGCCGCTGCTCATGAAATTCTTTTAGGCAAAATTAGAGTAAATTAATCTATGATACCTTTTTTTATTAGCTATATTTTTGTGCGCCAGCAATACCAAGCGTGTGGCGCGCGTATACTCGATTCAGTTTTATTATATATCAAGATTTTACCAGCCTACCCTCAAATTGAAAGTCTTTTAGGCAGGATTAGAGTAAATTAATCTATGAGACCTTGGGGGTGGTCAACTACATCAATCAAAAGGGGTTGCCCTATTGAGTCCAAAACTGTAATTAGATCTCAAATCGGTCAAGAGATGACGAAATTATTATCTAAAAGTTTGTACTTGAAAAAAAATAAAAACTGAGAGCAGTTCTATGAGCCGCGGCTAATGAAAAATAAAAACACATGGTAGTTTTTATTTGTTTGTGGTTAAGCGCAAAGCTACACAGTGGACTATCTGTATCGAAACCCGGTTTCAAGCATTGAAAGTCCGCCGACATGCAGCTGTGCCTCTGGAGAGCAACATCTGATAGAGTCATTTCTTCAGAACCTAAAATTTGGGCCAACAGAAAGATAAATGTAATTTTAAAGATTTTGATTCCAACATAGATTTTACGTCAGAATTTTTAAGACAGGTACTAAAAAGTAGAGCCAAGTACAATAAATTATCTTCGTTTCACATTCATTAAGAAACTTCAAGGGCACGAACTATAGTTCTTTGTTTGTAATTTATTTATCAACGTAAATATTTTTTCAGTTCCACGAATATTTAGCCCTCTTATTTTCTCAAGCCATAGTATTGTTGCGTCAGCGAGGTCACGTGACTAGTATCACGCCACTCCTTCTCTCGAACCTTCGGAAATTGTCGGGAAATTACTAGATATAGGATAGGCTGGTATGTATAAGATGGTGACAACGTGACAGGACAATGTG